AATACCTTATAATCACTAGGTTTAGGGTCTTAAGATACCTTCATCTATACTTCTTAATTTGTGCTAAGCTGTTGGAATTTGTGACTGACATCACTTACATAAAATGTGCCCGGGCATGACAGGTACAGAGGAGGGATCAGGTGCCCCAGAACAGCATTCTAAGTCCCCACAGCAGCTCATGCACCCTGTACAGGTGTCTAGATCTCTCATCTGATCACGGTGCACTGCAGAGGGAAACGGGGGGCCTCCAGACTCCACTCTTAATTGTCAACTGCCAAATTTGTCAGACGCATTTAAACATGGATGTGTGAGAATGCTACCCAACTTCCTCCCCCTGTAGAAAAAGAGATCCCCAATCCTTCCAAACTTTGAGTTGAAAACAAGGAGTCATGGTAGCTTCTGTGAACCCACACCCTCCCGGGTGATCAAAAGGTCTCCTATTTCACAGACCTCTGCCTGTGTTGTGGAGTTTATTTGCTATTCTTGGAATGTTTGCTTGGAACGAAATTGGTAATGTTAAGAGTCACACAGTGGGACTCTGTGTCTACTATTCTCAGAAGCCTCTGAGGACTCTCTGGGGGAAAGAACAGCCTTTAGGACAGCTGTGCCCTCTGCTGGCCAAGGCCATGACATCCGTCCTGTACTCCATGGGAGCTGCTCCTCCTTTACTGGAATAGTGTGTATTCTTGTTCTACCACTGTATCTAGGAGTCAGAGAACAATAAATTGATCCTCAACCCATCTATCCAGAGAGTTCTCCTTCCTGACGGCAGACTGCAGATGCCATGAAGCATCATTGCAGGATGGATACTAGGGCAGTGCTTTAAGCTTCTGAGGAGAAGGGTGGTGCTGGAGCTCAGTCTCAAGAGAGATTTATACTGTGTCTAGAATTGTTGGTTGTTGATCAGTCTTTTCCATGGAGTTAAATAAATGGCAAGTGGAGAAGTCAAAAATAAGGTCCTAGTTGTTGGAACAAGGACCAGGGATGGAGTCCTGTCAGGAGATCTGAGGGCCCTTTTGAAAATTCCAAGAAAGCAAGACAAGAGTCATGTAACCTCAGGTTGTACACAGCACGGAATTGTCCTTGGAATGTGCTTGGTGCCCCTCCAGGTGTAGTGGCTGGGACTGACTTTACTTCAGATCAGTCCTTAATTGCGTCCTGCTGTTACTGAATTCAATATGTAAACTATCATTACCATGGCTCTATGGATGAACATATTTTGACACTTGTGGCATGTTCTTTGATTGTATATAGCCTGAAATCAAGAGACCTGTATTCATGTGGCCTTTCTTAACCATGACAGCGTGAATTTTCTGCGCCTCTGAGTGAAGTTGGTCATTGCATGAGTCATGAGACTTCTTTATTGGTTGGTTCTATTCTGCCAGGGTCCCCTGATGTTTCTGATGACTGCCTCCAATGCCTAAATCCCATCCCAGCCTGGACCAGCATTCTAACCTTCTCTGCCCCTGACAATGAGATCAGAATTTGAGGTGTGAAACAGTTAATGAAGAGAATACATCACGCGTGATCCTCAACAAAAAGGTTGGAACCTTAGGTCCAAAGGAACTAGTTCATCCTACTAGAAGAGTCACTTCCCTGGTCTCTAGAAAAAAAGACAAATGCCTACCAGTGGGACTTATTTGTATACTAGGTTCCATGTTGGCCTCAGATTCTTTCTGTAGCACAAGAAAATAAAAAAACAAAAACATTACTTGGAAAAGGGCTACTCAAGATGGAGGCTGGGACGTGATTGAATGGTTTACTCCATGGTTACCAAATTTTCCCTGCGTGAAGCAGATGTTTATTTTCTCTCTCTTAATGCTCATTTGTGGGTGTCAAGGACAAATTCTATAAAAATATTTAAAATCAAATTTCCTAGTCTCAACTCACTCTCCTAGAGAATTGTAATCACGCAAAAATAAACTCTGTTAAAATATTAGCTATACAGGCTCAGTACCAACCTCTACCTCAACAGGAATCAGTGATACCATCATGTTATCTGGAGACAGTGGGGGATGTGAAAGTCCACCTAGAGGCCAGCCCTGAGAGCAGCCTGAGGCTGCTGAGACAATACCAGGAACCTGAGGATGAAAAGACCCCAGAAGTTCTCTCACAACTGTCAAAACTCTCTCCATAAGATTACATCACGGCCTGTGCCTTTAAAAGACACCCTCCCATTTTAAATGGGTCTCAGTTCCAAATTCAACCATGGGACAAACGCCAGCTACAGCTTCAAATTAATGTCCAGCTGATTTCAATATAAACGGAGTCTATGGTCTCTTAATGTTGTCTGATTCTAGAACCCTGGAGCTCCGTTATTTTCTAAAAAGAATTTAAAATAAGATCCTGATTCTTGAACACAAGAGCCTCTATGAAAACACAAACCAAATATCTATGAAATAATAGGAAATAATCATCAATGAATAAGTAGAGAAATTCTAGAGGGAAGTTGGACATGACAGTAAAGTGAAAACACTGCATTAACAATGCCCTTGTAATAACAAAACAAGCTAGGAATTTACAGTTTTTCTGCTTTCCTTGCACAACACAGAGCTGAGTTTCATGCTGTGACTCATGCAGGTCTTTATTATTCCGCTGGGTACCTTTTATGAAGCCTTGTTCCTTAGGTGGATGGTGGTGTTGGGTGTCTTTAAGCCCAGTGTTTGGGAGGAATAGCCATGCAGAGCTCCCAGTCTGAGACAAGCGCAGTCACAGAGCAAGTTCCAAAAAATCCCAGGATACATCACACACACACACACACACACACACACACACCACACACACACACACACACACACACACACACACACACCTGTCTCTTGAAACACATTGTAGTGCTAGACCTGGAGACATGGACAAAATTAGACACTACAAATATGTCTACTGCATTAGAGTGGAGAATCTGTCAGATCAAGCAGCTCCAACAACTCTGCTGGTAGGAACAGATATAGAGAGGACCTGCTGTTCTTTCCAGGATGTGAGAATTGTTCTTCCTCCCTGGCCTCTATTCCTGACTAGTGAGGCTGAATTTGCACTCTCATTTCAGGAAAACTTTGATAGATTATGAACAAAATATCACTACAGTTTCCAATTTTGTGTGGGTTTTGGGGGGATTTTGTTTGAGTGTGTGTGTGTGTGTGTGTCACCCCATATGTGTGAGTGTCTCATTCATTTCTTTTTTGTAGTTTGGTTGTTTCTTCAATTTCTTGTCCTTTATTTGTTTGTTCTATTTTCCTGATGGTTTCCTAAAGGCATCAAGTTGGAGTGGAGGGGAGGATCTGGGAGGAGAGTCAAGAGGGGATGACTCAGAATGAATTGTAGGACAGAACGATTGGAATAATATCATCAGAATCAGGGTAAGAAATGTTGCTGCTGTGTACAAGGACCCGTAAGGAGAAACAACTGCTGAAAGCTGTGGTCATCTTGGGGTTCTGCTCTGCTGTGAACACCAGTGTGAATGTCTGTAATGCACAGGGGGGAAACCTGGCATCCTGAGGTCACAGATTGTTCCGGTCAGGATTAGAAGTAATTTTCCAGGATCAACTCTGGAACTTCTGTTAAAGACTTGTATGTTGGCTGAGGTTGGAAAGACATGTGTCTGAGATGGGCAGAGAAGATGCAGGGATAGTCCACTAAGATGTCCTTGGTGTCAACAAAGTCCCTTGCAGTGTCTGACTCTTCAGTGCCATCTCCTGTCTTGTTCTCTGTGCACTGGCTGTGTAAATACATATACTAAGTTCATGACATACTGCTTGCAGAGAAAGACCTTGAGTCAGGACATGATGTAGCAGGAAGGCATGTGTTTTTGTCAGGAAACCACTATTACCGAATGTGGTAGCATTACAAAAGTCATTGGGAATGACAGAGGACTTATGAACTATGAAATCAAGGCCACAGAAAATTATGAGCTTTCAAACATTTTGTAGTCGTGTCAGGGTGGTCGAGTGGTCTCAGGTGCCAGACACAAACTCAGCTTCCTCAAACATTTTGTAAAACCTAGGGATCAGTAATAATTTGCTAAATTTGTGAGGAGCCATTAACACTAAATATTAATCAAAATGCAAAATGAGCAATAACAAGAGTATACCAGGAACTTGAAATTATAAATTCTAAGAAAATGGAATAATATTCACACAAAAATGCAAGTAGCGTTTCAATGGAATATCAGCTTTTTCTATCATCCTTAGAAAATGTATTTTTGAAATTACCTAGCTCAGTGGTGGTGGTCCATAACTTTAATCCAAGCACTTGGGAGTAAGAGGCAAGTGAATCTTCGTTTGTGGCCAACATGGTCAACAAAGTAAGCTCTGGGACTGCCAGGGCTACAAAGAGTAACTGTGTTTCTAAACAGCCATATATAAGTTTGTGTGTGTGTGTGTGTGTGTGTGTGTGTGTGTGTGTGTGTGTGTAAAACACACATACATACATACATACATTGCTCTTGAATGAAACCCCAAACACTGGAGCAATTCAATGAATCACATCAAATCTCTAATCCCCATGTACAAGCCAGGCTATGGATGAAACTGTGCTCTGCAGGACACAGAAACTCCACCTCAATATGATCCTTCATGTAGCTAAAGCCACTGCCTCTTCCCCTGTGGAGAATCATGTGCAGGGTTCCTGAACCCAAATACAGGAAGGGATAGAGGAGAAAGTTAAAGTAATAGAAAAATGAAGATATGACAAGTCAAATGTATGTGATTATTGAAAGGGGATCCTGAGATGTGATTTAGTACCGAAGCTCATGTTCCTCCTTGAAATGACTGCTAAACATAAACAAGATTTCCTGCATAGGGATTTATTGAAGAGTCTGTCCCATAGCTCAGGAGAGTCCTGACTAATCTACATAAAAGCACCAAGGAAATTAAAAAAAAAAAAAAAAACCGGATTCTTTTTCAGCAAGGAAATTTATTGGAGAAGGAAAACAATTGAGGCTAAGTACAAGGGGAATGACAGATCATGAGGTCTCAGAGCACATGGTGATCTTGTCTCTGTTCTCAGCGGCAGCAGAGTACACCATTTATTAGACCTAAGTGGCAAACCCCAGAGACCTGTTCATGATGTCTGCAGGACTTTTTTCTACAGTGGCAATTCACGCCTGGTGCAGCTGAGGAAACAGAGAAAACCAGGCATTAAGTAAGGAAGCCAGGAGTATGCAATAGTGAACAATACTATGAAGATACATGACACACTACTGAGGAGGCTTGTTTGTGTTGGTGACATCACACCCAGCACCATGATCAACTCCAAAGACTGGGAAATGATACATTTAACAAGTGTTGATCACAGGCAGACTTGACAAGCAATTTGGTTCTTTCACCTTGTTGTGTCGCCCTGACCCAACACAATCATACACTTTTTTGCTTCCTAAAACTATCCTTTTAAGCAAAACATATTTTTCTTTCTGTAACAAGATTATCAACTTGAGACAAAGGGGTAATCAATATGTTCTATATTATGAAGCTATTCCACAGGTAAATTTTTAGATCAAAAATCTTTAAAGAAGAAAGAAAATCTGTTGCACTTTTTTGCCTCTCTCTGTTACTTCTATGAATTAGACAGTGAAGGTCCTAGAGGATCAAGAGAGACAATTTCCTGAGTCACACAGCTGCCACAGGATTCCAATCTGCCTCATCAACCCTGTCTCAGGAAACTCTAGCCAATGCTCATATTGGGCATCACCACTCACCTACACCTTGAAGAACAGAGCCTTCAGGGCTTCCAAAGGAGATGGACACTTCCTGGTCCTCTACTCCTGACTGCTCCTCATTTTTAGCCACCTCAGTTGCTTCTGGCAGAGGATCAGCCAGGGCCTGAAGGGCCAGCAGGACAAGGGCAGAGAGGAGGAGAAGAGTCTTCATGGCTGTCAGTCACCTGGAGGAAGAGAGAGCAAGAGCCTAGTGTGTGGGGAGTGAGGAGCCAGCCTGCATTTATAGTGCAGACCAGTGTTCTGTAAGGAGATGGTGTGCACTGAAGGAATTGGGGAGACTAGTGAGCTCAGATCCCTTTGATGTTCCCCTGTTCTCACAGCTGCTGCCACGATGGTGGCTATGTGTGCAATGAAAGCCCTCCCTTCCAGCTGATAATGATGAAAGGACCTTGCCATCTTCTCCTGTTTCCCAGCTGCTTGATTACTTAAGTTTCTGTGGTAAGAAAAAAAATAGGTGAGTATTTCAAAGTTAGTCAACTCAGGGAACAACAGGTGTTTGAGGTCTGAATTGGGAGCCTAATGGTCTCACGAAATGTACACCCTGGACCAGTCCTGTATACCTGTGGATTGGAAAGTCAGTTCTTTGAGTGATTTTGGGTACTATCACTCCCATGAAGGAAAACTTTGGGAGTCCCCTCCTTTGGTCCATTATGGAGAAAGTAAGATGGCCCTGGTGAATCTAGCTCAAGAGGCACTGAGGGACAGAGTTGGTCAGAGTGAAGCTAGAGCAGGTTATTATGAAGAAGCTGGTGTGATCTTAACACATCTCATGAGTGCATTCCAGGTGCCTCCTCACACTTCTGGAGCCATCAAATGATGTGCTCTGGCTCATGTCTCAATTTCTGCAGTTTGAAAAATACTTTTAATAAAATGAGGGCTTACTTTCAAGATTCAAAGTGTATAGAGGTTGATGTGCTTTGCGCTGATCCCCAGAAGTGACTCTTCCTCTGCCATTTATATATGAAGGCTGTTCTGTTCATACTTGTGTGTGTGTGTGTGTGTGTGTGTGTGTGTGTGTGTGTGTGTATGTATATATATGATAGAGGACTCTCTAATAATTTCTCTCAGCATTTGGTGTCTCAGTGATATAATGGCTAGCTCATATTTTCATGTTGAATAATACTGTTCAATTGTTAGAATGTTTTTATTTACAGCTGAGTGCAATAAGTATAAAAGTCCTAAAATACTATTTTACATGCACACTCATATTTACCTATAGGCACACAAACACACACACATGCGCATGAGTATATATGTATGTCTATACTTCTATATTTAAAACAGCATACTGCCTAAATTACATGACCTCTTTGATACATTTGTAGACTTCTATTTATAAGTCAAAAAGCATATCTTACATTTCATATACATCTCTCACTTTCTTCCTGATCTAGAGAGTTGCTCTCAGTAGCTCTAAGTAAGTTTGCATACCCAAAAGACCACATTGCTCGTTTAAATTACTTATATAATTGGTTTCCCACGTGCCATTCCCCCTGCTAGTGTTCAGCCCAGAACTGGTCATTGAAGTTCAAAAGTACCTTGAACCATAAAATATAACCTTTAAGAAGAATGCCATTTTTAAGTCCAGCAATTTTTAGATCTCCCATACTTTACACTGGGGATGCTGTGGTCACTCCTTCACTTGCTTTGTGTCACAAACCAGTGTGCAAAATGTCAACAGATCTCAGTTTCCCTTAATAATCAATTCTGTTTCTTTAGCTGTGATCATAATGGTAATTTTTTTCCTTACTTGTGGTATCTGCTAAAATCTTTTCTTCAGGTATTTCTAGAGAGTGTAGATCATTCACTGGTGGGTTCACATCAAATCCCAGAGGTGGAGACCAAAGAGAAGCTGTGGCGAGACCCTCTTCCTACAGATGTCTTCCGACCTTGAGCCACTCTCAGGTTCTAAGCAAGGAAAACAAACAGTCCCAATAAATGACAGAACTTTACACTATAAAACACAAAAGTAAAGTGGAATATAGGGTAGAGATGAAGTATGAGGCATTTGGCCACAGCCCTCTTGCCTCATATTTAGTCTCTGAGTATGGCAATTAACCTCTTCAAAGTTCCTTTACAAAACCACAAAATGTGGATCAACAAACACAGCTACTTTGTTGGGTTATTGTGAAAAACCTGTTATGAGAACAGATAAAAGACCTCAGCAAAACATAACAATAAGCTAATGCAAATGCACTGCATATGTTATATACTTTGAGAATGCTATCTGGTATCATAAGACTGAAATGATCATGATTTCTATGGAATCACACAAAGATGCCCTCATCTATAAAAATTGAAATTTAGTATGTTCACCTCATAAAGACGTGGTTAATTTCAATACTGTTTAAATATTTTATTCAATAGTTCATACTGCATATTTGCAAAACTAACATATCTTCAAACACCTCAAGAAATTTATGGCATTGTTAATCTCGTTGTTAAAGAGAGATCACACAAAACAAGCAGTTATCTAGATATAGTAAAAGAGGTTAAGTGTAACTACAGAAGAGTAAGACATACTCAGAACTCACTTAAGGATGGATGATATGTATGAGGTAAGAAATGAAGAGTATTAGAAATGAGTATGATGGTGGGAAGAAGAAAAACAGGGAAGGTCCAACACAGTGATGTGCAGATATTTCTGACCAGAAGACTAGGATGTTAGGATGGCTGAGCAAAAGTAAGTTGAGCTCCACCTTAGGCTGAGGAATCGCCTCAGGTCCTGGACACGAACCTCCCAGTTCTAACGAGTGTTTAGGAACCAAAATCTAGTGGACTTTTATTATGAAGTCAATACAGGACTTCTGACTCCACACCCTGATTACACACTTTTCCCTGTGTTTCCATGCTCTACAAGGAGGCCACAGTCAGAGTAATAATCCATAACCTGGTGTTGCAACAGTGTTGGATGCTAAGAACCATCTGAAGTTTCTATGATGAAAGGGATATTTTGAAAGATCTTGGATGTTTTTTTCCTGATACCATACGTTGCTTATTGCAGTATGAAAGTTCAGTATAATGATAACTGATGGCATATAGCCCAGTTGCAGGATATGTTGACAATGCCATGTTGATGGAGAAGGTGTGAGTTAATAGGGACATGTGTTGTGACCCTCTGAAACTACAGAAAGTTTCAATTAGTATATGAACTGGAAGGTCTTTCATGTTTGTCAAATGTCAAATGAAGTTAACTGTTTGAGACTCTTGGCTATTATGCTAAACTAGGGGACCCACCTTTGAGACAAAAGCATATGCATTCTGTACTTGGGAGTGTACACACATTTACACAGTTAATGTAAAACATTCCAAGATACGCAGACATCTTTGCCTAGTTAAAGTAATATTTCACAACATGGGGAGTTGTCCCATGAAAATTTTTGCAGTGATCACTGTTGTGCCACAGTATACATGTTGATTTCAGAGAACATTTATTGGCAGTCTGCTTCTCCTTCACTATGTGGATCCTGAGGTTGTCACTTTGGGGGAAGCCTCTCTCCCTCTAAGCCATGCTGTTGGCCATCAGTTTAGTTTCACGTCTCTGGCATTCTTAGTGCACAGTTTTCTTGACATTTTATCTCTTGAGAGACTTCTCTTTGTCTTGCACTCCAGTTCTCAGTACATGAATTCAGTGATATTCCTTCTGGAGGTGTCTTCTCTCAATCTCTCAGAATGAGATTGTTTCAAAGAATCTGTGAGCCTATTGCATGTGAGTCCAGGCAAGTTAAGATAAAGTTGAATTGTCCTTCATCTCTGCACTTTTGTTCCTGCAACAGTGTTCCCTGACCTTGGGATGGTCTAACAAAATGTCTGGTCAGCTACAGCCAGTATTGCTACTCTTGGCAATGGAGCTGAGTTCAGCAGGGTTGCATCAAGGGGCCCTGTGGGCAAAAAGACACAGCAGGAATTTATGACCCTTTTTAGGTCTGGTGACAAAGGGATTTCCACCTTCCCTGAATCACACAAACTGTTCAAAGGTGTAGGAATCCATGGAGCAGCCAGCAGCAGATCTGAGGTATAAACTCTCACTAGATTTCCCTAGCAGTTACCCTTACAATCGACCCACATTGAAATTTCCAACAATCCAGCATAGACATCAAAGACAACATGTACCTGGATATCCTCAAGGGAAATGGACCACACTGTATGATGTCAGAATCATCTAACTCTCTATCCAGAGCCTCCCAGGAGAAGCCTACATCGATAGACCTTGGACACACATGTCACTGAGCTCTGGAAAACTCCATAGCATTTAAGAAATGCCTGTGTGAAACCAATGGACAGCAGGCCTCCTGTCAAGAGTCCTGACACTAGATGTCCACCATCACTTTTTGTCATCTTTTTTCTTAAATTGTTCTGTCATCTCCCTGAAGTCTGAGGTGTGGTATTCCTTTTGTCTTATTTTTTCTTTTAACTTAAGTTTCCTCGAGCCCTACAATATATACTGAATAAATATACATTGATTGTTTTGTAAAAGCAAAAGTAATGTGGAAGAGGCATGTAACTAGGCCAGCAGCATCATTTGAGATCCTTTATCACTTTCTGTCTGGAATCTGTGCTCTTTGGGAATTGCAACTAACTAGACTCAGAGTTTTGATTAAAACACTTTCACTTAAGTGTCAGACACTTACATTTCATGGACACTTAATGAAGCCTCACAGCATCATGGGTAACTATCATGCACTTTTCAGATGCCAAATGAGCAATAATTTAGTAATTCTCCATTTTTTTGGTATACAGAATGAGTTGCCAATACCAGCTCTTATATCTATTCACAAGATTCAGATTCATTGAAGTAAACTGAAGACTACTCCACGATGGCAGGTAAAGCCTTGGTTAGACCTGGAGTGGCACAGATTTAAGGAATTTCCAGTGAGGGACACACAATATTGGAAAGGTTTTGAAGTATCTGTAATGTTTCTTATGTTGGCTTCATGATGGTCAGTAGCATGAACAACCATCACCAGTGTACTATAGATTGAACAGTTAGCACATATGATTTAATATGCATCACTGGGGTAATATAATACTTCTACATCAATATATATAGTCTAAACCATTGTTGCTTTTAGGCTAGATCTTTTATTTATATAATTTTTATTACACATGTATGCATTGATGACATATTGAGATCTGACTACTTATTAGGAA